CTGACAAAGAAGCCAGCTAATCCAATGTCCTTTCAGCAGTTTTACAGATACACTTGTATTGTTCCCCTAGGGAGCAGAAGGCTAGCATTTAAATTGCTGTCATTTCATTATTCCCAGAGCAGAATATTTCATGGTATCTCAAACCAATTATTAGCTGCTAATTTGTCTTTTTTTTCCCCTGGCAGGAAAATGCTTGCATTATAGAAGGACTCTGCTATGCAAAAGGTGATTCAAGCACTACCAGCCCTTGTCTTCTGTGTGACCCTTCAGTTTCTCAATTTACCTGGGCCCACAATGAAAGTAAGCTCAATAAGCACCAGACAATTAGATGACATTTAGATTTTTAAACAAAAATACATATTATTTTTATGTTTTTGGGCAGGTTTTTTGCAAGAGGATGTATTCTTATCCATGGCTTGCACATTCTATGCATTTCTGTAATTTCTTGAACAGTGTAGGTTATTTTCTTCAGAACAGACCATTTCTCACAAAGAGAAGTACTACAGTACTACAGCAGAGTAGTTGGCTATTGCCTTATTCTTTTCTAGAACTATTATAAGAGGCTAATTTGCAAATCACTCAAGCTGCGCCCAGGTCTCATCTTCTACGTGACAGCATCTCCCCCTATTAACCCATGTGGGCTCTATGATCTGATGGCAAAGCCCTCCTCTCAGTCCCACTTCCCTCTCAAGTGAGGTTGGTGGGGATGAGGGAAAGGGCCTCAATTATGGACCTCGGGGAGATCAGGCAAGCCCCCACAATTCAATCCTTTCAGAGGGAACTGAAGACTTTTCAAACAGGCCTTTGACAATGGTAACATCTAAAATTGGAGAACCTAAATGGAATGAAATTTTACCCTGATGCTGATATTTTAATCCAATCTTTGACTGGGACATTTAATCTAGTTTGTATATTATGGTTTTGATTATAATTTATTGTTTGTGTTTTATTGCTTATTTTGTTTTGAGTGGATGTGTTTTATATTAATCTCCATATGATGCACATTTTTTATTTCACCTGGTGTTTATTTTTATTGATTTAGGCTAATTTCTGTTGTATATTCTATGTGTTTTGTTTTACACTTTTGTTGTCTTGTAAGCTGCCCTGAGTCCCTCCAGGGAGATGGGGCGAGATATAAATAAAGTTTATTATTATTATTATTATTATTATTATTATTATTATTATTATTATTCTAACAGCAGTAAAACCCATATACTCCTGTATGCCAAATTGGCTATCTTGGTATATAGAAACAAGACTGCAAGCCAGGTCTTTACAGGACTGATCCCCATCCAAAACAAATAAATGGTAGTGCAACCTATCCAATACCTTCCCCCAAATATAACCCAAACTATACCTTGTTTTGAATGAGATGCTTCAAACAGAGCTCTTCTTTTTCTCCATCACCTATATCAAGTCCATACATGTTCATTCAAGGATTGCATTGCATTTTTCACTGAATATGGAAGAAACATTTGGATCTTTCCCAATTACAGTTTAATAACCACAATCAAATTAAGATGTTAATTTATTACACACACCTCCCTGTGGCTAAATAAAACAGCCCACTAGGATTAAAGGTGGTGGTAAAATACATATGTTGTATGATGTCTTAATTCTTTTAATTTCCAAAGTATATATTATGTCTCCTTAAATCACAAACTCATATTTTCATTTGCAGAATTCAATAAAAAATAATATCTGGGATATTCAACAAATTGTGTAGATTTTGTACCAGTGGTCATGTGGCAAATGCTGCTGTGGGTAAGGGCTTTGATGGCCTCTGTGAATAGAAGGTAATGTTAAAAGCATGTGGTGCTTAGCACCTGAATGCAGTGTGTGCAGGGAGTGGAGCTGTGTACTATAGAAAGCCTATCTATCCCCTCATGAGTTTATCTCAGCCTTTGCTTGTGACCCACCCTCCTACTGGAGCCCCGGCGGCACAGTGGGTTAAACCCCTGTGCCGGCAGGACTGAAGACCGACAGGTCGCAAGTTCGAATCCGGGGAGAGGTGGATGAGTTTCCTCTATCAGCTCCAGCTCCTCATGCGGGGACATGAGAGAAGCCTCCCACAAGGATGATAAAAACATCAAATCATCCGGGCGTCCCCTGGGCAACGTCCTTGCAGACGGCCAATTCTCTCACACCAGGAGTCACTCCTGATATGACAAAAAAAAACCCCTCCTACTCTCAGTACAGTGTGAACTTTGCTAGATAATGATCAATGACCCTTGGGGTAACTGTTTTTGTCTAAGGAGGTTCAGCAGGTAGTTATAGATTGACACATGGTCTCAAGCAGACCTACCGTATATTCCTGCATATAAGACGACTGGGCGTATAAGACGACCCCCAACTTTTCCAGTTAAAATATAGAGTTTGGTATATACTCGCCGTATAAGACCACCCCTCTTCCATCAAATAAAAATAAAAAATAAAAACATCAGATTTGATTTCAAATCCAAGATTATCAAAGCAGTATCCAGCTCTTCGGCTTAGAAATGGAGATGAGCGCCAACCCCCAAAGCCGGACACGACTGGACTTAACGTCAGGAGAAAACCTTTACCTCACCTGTAAACTCCTGTATGTTTATTATTTATTTAACAGTTGTGGGTCCATGGAGCGTAATAAAGTTCTATAAATTTTTACCTTACCTTACCTAGAGTGAGACCAGGGCCGGGTCCAATGTCCTTTCCCCAACAACAACAACAATAATGGAAATCTAGAATTGGAAGGGACTCCAATGGCCATCCAGTCTAACCCTAATTCTGCCAGACAGGAACACATGTCCAAGCCCTCCCGACAGATGGCCATCCTGTTCTACTTAATAATAGCAATAACAACAATAATAGCAATAACAACAACAATAATAATAGAAGGGACCTCAATGACCATTCAGTCCAACCCCATTCCTGCCAGGCAGGAGGACACAATGCAAGCCTTCCTAACAGGTGGCCATACAACTCTGCTTAACAATAACAACAACAACAGAACACTAGAGTAACTCTACTTAACAATAACAACAACAACAGAACGCTAGAGTTGGGACTCCAATGGCCATCCATTCCAACCCACTCACTCCTGCCAGGCAGGAAGACACAATGCAAGCCTCCCCAACAGGTGGCCATCCAGTTCTAGTTGCCATATATACTCGAGTATAAGCTGACCCGAATATAAGCTGAGGCACTTAATTTTACGACCAAAAACTGGGAAAATTTATTGACTCGAGTATAAGCCAGGGGAGGGAAATGCAGCAGCTAGTGGTAAGCTGAGGGGACAGAAGTTGTCATAAAGCCATCTTGCGCAGCTTCCAAAACCCAAAACGTGAGAAGATTTTGCACTGCAACCAGATATTTCCAAGGTTATGCCCAAAGGGTTTGATGAATATACCCTTTTTGAGATAGATCTAAATCAGGCATGGGCAAACTGTAGCCCTCCAGGTGTTTTGGACTTCAACTCCCACAATTCCTAACAGTCAGTATTTGAGAACACAGAAATGCTGGACCACTCTCACAACCACCATGTCAGACTCCACAGAGAAGCCATTGCAATCCACAAGAAGCATGTGTACAATTTCAACAGAAAGGAGTCGCCTTCGGGCTTGAGATACAGCGGTATATAAGCAAAGTAAATAAATAAATAAATAAATAAATAAAGGAGGAAACCATGAAAATGAACAAAATCTGGCTACCAGTATTTAAAAAAACTCCTCTAAAATCAGGACAGTAAATAAAAAACAACACTCAAAAGCAGGGGAAATCCAGACAATAAAAAATCAGGACCAACTAACACCTCCCAACAAAGGATTCCCCCAGGCAGGAAGCAGCCAGGCTTTGAAGCTGCAAGGCCATTCAATGCTAATCAAGGTAGCCAATGGCAACATTCCCACTTGCCTCAAGCAGACAAGAGTTCTTTCTCCCACCCTGGACTTTCCACAGATATATAAACCCCACTTGCCATGTTTCCAACAGACCTCACAACCTCCAAGGATGCCTGGCATAGATCTGGGCAAAACATCAGGAGAGGACACTTCTGGAACATGGCTATACAGTCTGGAAAACTCACAGCAACCCAGCCAGTAGCTGTTAGGAATTGTGAGAGTTGAAATTCAAAACAATCTGATAGAAAACTGGGACTTGTAGTTTGGTATGGTACTGGCTCTCTTAAACAGGGAAGGCTAAGGACCTTGTAAAACTACAACTCCTGTGATTCCATGGCACTGAATCTGTGGCAGTTTTTTTGGGGGGGATTCCCCTTTAAGAGTAGATGGCCCTTGCACTGGGACTTCCCCTTTAAGGCTGCCTCCTTCTTGGCTGCAGAAACAAAACAAAACGGGGGAAAGAGACCTTTTTCTTCCTCCCTCTGCAGGCTATTGAAAACTTTTAAAACTTAAGAGCGGCTGTTCTTTCAGAGGGAGCTGAGCACAGAGACAGGAAAGAAACCCCAAAGAGGGGAGAAAGAAGAAGTTTCTGCAGCAGGACTTTCTCGGAGGTGCCTTTGTTTTGACTCTCCTTGAGTAGCACTGTTTGAGGGAGGAGAGGAGAGGGAGAAAGAGGCTGGGAATGGGAGGCTTGGGGGCAGCCTCTTCTGCCCCTTTTTCCTTCAGGAGGAGGACGGAGAGGAGGAGGAGCGGCAGTGCTGCCGGGGGTGATGGCCAGCTGGGCTTGTGCAAGGAGGGGGGAGGAGGAGGATCGGCAGGTCTGCCGGGAGTGCTGGCCAGCTGAGCTGCGATACCAGCAGGCTCCCTTTGGCCTCTAATGGCTGCTCGCATCCCTCGCTCTCGGCATCCTCAAGTGGTGGAACTTATAGCCGGCACACAAGACGACCCCCCCCACTTTTTTGGCTTAGAAAGTCGTCTAGTATGCCGGTTTTTACGGTACTTCAGGTTGCTTTTCCTCACCGTTTGCTCATCCCCAGGCATAACTTAATTAAATAAAAATAAAATGGCCTTTGTTTAACCCAATTTTCTGTGTCTAGCTCATTATTTCACAGCTGATTATCGATGTATTTTTACATAAATTATGCACCATTTGATCCTTGCTTCATTTTCCTATTTTGTTTAGATAACTTGCCGCCTGTGTTCCACACCCCATCTGACCAGCTTCTGACATTTGAGGGAGAGAATTTCGTTTACCAGCTGCTAGCACTGGATCCAGAGAAGTCAGCAGTGCTGTTTACTTTAGAAAGTGGCCCTCCAGAAGCCTCCCTCTCTCCAGCTGGCCTCCTCATCTGGAAAGTTGCCTTTGGAGAATCGGAAAGCTTTAACTTCACAGTGTCTGATGAATGCAATGCCCAAAGTAGACACACCATTCAGGTAGGAACAGCTCTCCTGCAAACAGGTTTGTCAGAGTCTTGGTTTCTTCCATTATAGAGAATAATTTGTTATTGTCTTTAAAAAGCTAAGCCTTCAGCTATTTTCAAGTAAGTGCATATTATACAACATGACAGTAATGATCAATTAATCTAATAAATATCTTAGCAAGCGTAAAACCCATATATACAATGAACAAGAGAGGGTACTATCGATTGCTGTCTGAAAGAACACTTTTGCCGACCCTGTTAATGGTTCATTAATCTGCTTTAAAATTCACTATGTGCACTTGGATCTTTGAAGAAAAGCACATAACAACATAAAAGACCAGGTTTTAGTCATAAAGGAGAGATGATAATTCATTCACAATGATATTTTTAGAGGTTCCCATGCTCTTATGTCATTACTCCACAGCCTTGGATTCTTGGCAGTGCTTCCTTTCTGCTTTGTCTTTATTTCAAGGTGTTCCATTAATTCTACAATAGCATGGGCTAATAAGGTAAATGCAGAGGAGGAAAAAAATTACAACTAGAAGTGTCTGACTAACAATGGGAAATTGTAAAAGAGCCTGGCAACACATATGCACAGAATAAACGTTCACCCAAACTGCTAGATATACCACCACATCAGATGAGCTGATTTGCCCATTGTACACTGCTTCCCCTCTCTTTTTGGCCTTTACACAATGTGCGGGCACTTCTGGCTGGGCTCCATGCCGAAAAGGGAGAGAAAGCAGTGCATGCCTTCCTGTGTTACCTTCCCTTCAATGGGAGGAATCCAGGTGGTGACACGTCCCCTAATGGGATTAGGGGTACAGTAAAGGTGGTCAGTGTGGGGTGTGGAGCAGCAGCTTCTCCATGTCCCCTTCTGGGAGCCCATGGATTTCCCCAATGTGGGGCAAATCCATGGGCTTTTTGTCACCAGCTGAAATGCTGGTGACACACCAATGTAGTAGACACATATTTTTCATAGTCCAATAGCAATAGTACAGTAAGATAAACAAAATCTGCTGGTGCCAGGCATTTTACTCCTACAATGCCTTCAGGACAACTGTACCTGTAGCATTTCCCATCCTGTTTCTAATGCTTTCACTGCAGGAGTTGCATTGGCATAATGTTCTTTTGGGATGCTAGCCACATAATTGAATGACACCTTCACTATAGCTTTAGACAAGGATTCTGGGAGATCATATTTAAATCCTTCCTTACTCATGTAAACCTATGTATACCCCTGGACAAATCATACCTTCTCACAATCCTTATTGCTTTTGTCTTCTCTAGGTTTCAGTGCAGCCTTGTGGTTGCTTAAATGGTGGAACATGCATCACCAATGTTAACTTTCCTTCAGGTCTTGGTAAATACTTGTGCATATGTCCCAATGAATTTGAAGGAGAACACTGCCAGAACAGCCATAATTATTGCAAATCAAATCCCTGTGCCATTGGTTCCTGTATTGATCAAACAGATAGTTATATTTGTAAATGTCCAGCTGGTTGGAAAGGTAAGCTGAGCTTCCCACTTGTTTTGGAACCTCCTTGCTGTTTTCACAGTTAATTTCAGGACACAGCTATGTTGCTGTGCATAGCATGTGGAGGCTAGTAAAACCAATATCTGAGAATCATATTTTCCACACCATGGGAATAACATTCAGAACCACTGAACCAGTTGATTGGCTGCACAACAAGAAGAGTTTCTTTGTATTCCTACACATTTGATAGTTGTGAATTGGAGGCACCCAGTACTACAAATGATTCGCCTGTCAAGCAGCCATACACACTGTAATGGTATTGCTTCCAGTGGTTTTACAACTATAGACTGATACCAGAAAACTATGATTCCAACACTCTTGAATATCTTTTCACCTCTGCTCTGCTGCAGTAACCTTCAAGGCTGATTTGGATATGATTAAAAAAACAATGATTTGTATGGAGTCAAAATGGCTTTCAATCCTTAATGGCTGATCTTAGCATTATATGTACTCATACAGTGACTGGTCATTGGTTAAATGTGTATTCCATTATTTGGCCAGTTACTTAGTAAGTTAAGATAAGAAATAGGCAGAAAATGACTTGCATGCTTGAACTTTTTAGTTCAATTGAAGCATGCTTTTACTTCAATTTAGCTGGATGTAGACTTTAAAAAGATTTTATTTATATACAACCAATAATGCTCTATAATTGACCTTCCAGACAGCCTCCTCATAACAAAACTGCATTCAGCAAAAGTCCTTTCTAATCATAACAGAAAGCCCTCTGCTCCTTTTTAGCCTTTTTTTCATGCTTCTTGTTAGTACTGTTTTGGGGGTGTAGGGGATGGGGAGATTAGTAGAGCAGTCTCTGAGTTGCCACTCTGAATTACCATTCTTTCCCTTTCCTGTGGGGAGGGCTTTCAATTTGAGAGATTATTCAATATGCAAATCAGAACCTATTAATCACAGTTATATTTATACAATCCATTGCCTAAGAGCTAAGGCAGATTTATGACATATATCCATTTCTAAACAGAGATCTTTAGTAGGCAAATTGTCATATTTCTGGTAAAGTCTTACTTAAGACATCAAAGTCCTCTAGTGGTATGTGATCTTGTATTAATCGTGCTAGCAAACCCATTGCTCTGTAAAGGGTTTAAGATCTCTGTGTTCCAAGAATTTAATGAAAAATGTAGGGAATATGGGGTATGAGTAATGCTGACATTCAAATGAAATGGGAAGGGATGTCTTGTAGTCAGAAGAAAATAGATTAAAATAATTTCTCTTATTTTTCTTCTAGTGGTAACAAATGCATTGTGAAGAGATGTATTTTTCTTTTCCATTTGTCCTCGGGGTCTCAGCCATCTCTGCTCACATCCTTTCCATTCACTGATCTCCCCATCCCCATCATATTATATTTACCTTTCACTGGTGTTCTTTTCACCAGCAATTTACAATCTCCTTTGAGAAATGTTCTCTTCGCTTTCAACTGCAGAATGATGCAGTAGTATCCAAGAAAGTAGCAGGAGAGAAGGTAGAAAGTAACTATTTCCAGAAGTAGCCCATAAGTGTGTGCATAGGTTCTGGTGTTTATGAGAATCGCTATGCTTGTGCTAATTCCCTGTTTGTACCTGAATATAGGAATTTGGTCAAAACAAGGACATAAAATAACTGTAAATCTTTACCTTCATAGAATATACACATATGAGCATGTTTTGTGATTTCTTTCATTCTAGTAAGTTGAATTGGTTCCAATTATCTGTTTCTCTTTCACACACAGAAACAGAAATACACACACATTTTGAAGCAACTGCATCATGATATACCACTATTCGGCCACCCAAGCATCAATATCTCTTTGTCAAACTATGATAAAAATCAAACTCAGTGTGTTTAAATGAGCCCTCTTCACTGCTGCAATCATTTTATTTTCTGAAACACACATAAACACACACATTCCATTTTTTCTCATCAGCATAAAGAAACAACCAATTTCTCAGATAATGACCATTCTTGGATGGTAGTAGTCAACTACCGATAGTGTTCCCTCTTGATTCATGAGATGGTAGTCTGCATGTTCACAGAAAGTGACCTGCTTCAATTATTCCCCCCTTTCCCCCCTCACTCATTTAAATAAAATATTCATTGTTTTAGCAGTTAGTTTCCTGACCTGGAAACAGCAAACACATTGTGGTGAGGGAGAGTAAAGAAATGACTGAGTGAAAAAGGAATACTTTTCAATGCTTTAATGGCAGGTGAAAAATTATATGCAAGTGCAGTTGAGAGCCAGCTGGGAGGAAGATGATTTTACTTGAGGGCAGGTTCTGTTACAGCAATAAAAGCTTATCCTTGATGTTGTGTTTATGTCTCAATTCCCCAGAAAGCCATCAATAATCTAATGAGAAGGCAACATGGTACTGCTCAAGTGACAAGAGTGTTTCAGCGTCACATCTTTACAAATGATAGCAAACAGATAGTAGGAACAAAACACTTACTCTTCAGAGAGCACCTTAAGTATCATCTCTGGAGAAGCAAGTTGTCGAAAGTGTAGAAAGTGTTGTGCTTACTGAAAGACAAGTGCATTTGCAATCCCACACTGCTGTCATTGATAGGACAACAGCAATTTCAGATGCATGCTTTGGGAACAGGGAAGTGGGTAGAGATAAAAATGTGCTGGAGCAGTGGGGATGTTTGTGAGTGAAACATGGGCCCAGAGTTCATTTGCTATAATTTAAACTTCTATAGTTTACAGCCTACTGTATATTGAAATAATTTTCAGATATTCAGAGTGTTTGGTGCAAATGCTCATTGTCAGCATTCTCTAGACAGAAGGAAGCAACAGAATTTAATAAATTGACAAGCTTGAAATACATAGTTAAAAAATGAGAACAGGTTTCAGGAAAAAAAAGTACCCACTTCCTAAAAAGTGTGTTCCTTTCTTCATTCTTTTTCCTGGTCTATGGCAAAGTAGGAAAAGATGTTCAAAAGTGTGTAGATTTTATTTATTTATTTATTTATTTATTTACTGCATTTCTATGCCGCCTTTCTCAGCCTGAAGGCAATTCAAGGCGGCTTACACTGGCACTATTTGATGCCACAATGAACATAAACAAAATTAAAAAACAATTAACACACATTATAAAAACCTTATAAAAGCATTAAAGGCAAACATCACTAATAACTTTCACTGGAAGGAGGGGGAGATCAACCTGATATCTCGGACCTTGAACCAGTCATAAGTAATTATGTGAGTAATGAGTTTCATGGGTATGAAGAATGATGAAGGACATTCAGACATGCACCTAAATGTACATTATACTGAACATAATGGCATATGGACAGGCAGCATTGAAATCAGATGCTGAGTTTCCTAACCTTGTCCTCATGTTGTACAGACAGAGAGTGAGAATCCTGGATTTGATTTCCAGTTGTCCCTCCCTCAAGAGAAAGGTGTGGAAGAATAGAGAACTCTACAACTGGGGCACAAGAGAGGAGGACATATCTCCTTATCTACACTGGGAAAGTGAAAAGGAAGTGAGGTGCTAAGTTAATCCCCTCACC